AGTGCCTGAAAGTAAAGCCTTTCGGTGTGGTATCGTGATCCTTAGGGACAACAAAAGTGACTGGGAATCACAACAAACGATAAGCATTCCTTGTTACGTGACATTTCCAAAGCAAATACACCGTTGGAAATTATCATAATAATATAAAGTAAATTGGTCATGAGAATTTTTTACCGACCGTTTGTTTCGGTAGAAAATAATATTACCTTCGCTTGGCATTTAGTGTCAAAGGACCAGAAAAGTGGGAAAGTTGGAGTATGAACTAAAAAGGAATTGGTAGGGGCAAAGAAGGAATAGTCGTTCACAGGAAGACGAGAAATGTCGTAAGGGAGATGGATAAAATCAGTAGCGTAGTAACAAAAAAAAAAGAAACTAAAAAGAAGTGGTCAAGACTCTCCTAAACGTTTTCCATGTTTTGTTTTTGTTTCAGGAAAATGGAGGAAATTAAGTCAAGGAAGAATGTGAGAGAGAGGAGGAGAATAAACACGAAAAGAGGAAGAGGAAAAAGAGAAAAGGGAACTAAAACGAAAAGAGAAAAAAAAGAAGAAAAAAAGAAGAAAAAGAGAGCAAAGAAAAAAAAGGAAGTGAGGAAAAAGAGAAAGAAAGAAAGGAATAAAATCGAAAAGTGAAAGAAGAAAAGAGGGCAACAGAAAGAAGTGAATAAATAATAAGAGAGTGGATGAGAAAAGTGAAGAAAGAGAGAATAGAAATAAAGAGAGGAGGAAGAGAAAGAAGACAATAAAAACGAGGAGAGGAAAAGGGACATGAGAGAAGAGAGGGAAAAAGAGACATGACAATACAAACAATGAGAGAAAGAGGTAAAAGAGAAGAGACTAAATTGAAGAGAGGGAGCGGAAAAATAAGAGAAGAGAATAAAAACGAAGAAGAAGAAGAAGATAAAGGGCAAAAGAGAGAAGAGAATAAAAACGAAGAAGAAGAAGAAGAAGAAAGAGGAGGAGGAGGGGAAGAAAAAACACAGTGACATTGTAAATGTACCGTTGTGGTTTAATTGAATTATACATACTTTTTTTTTTATCCCGCCTCATCTGTGCTTAAGAGGAATTTTCTAATATGTAAGCAAGGACTTAAGACTTCGGTTTCATGGTTTAAAAGGTTCTTTTCGAGAACTTGAGATGCCTATTTAAAAAATATGTTTTAATAAAAATATTTTTATAAATGTCAACCAACAGTAGATGTTTCTTCCTCGGGAGCCAACCAATTTATGAGAAGTGCAACACAAGAAAAAAAAAGAGTATTCTTGTCGCTGGATTATGATGAAGAGAGTGGTAACCATATTGTATAAATGTCTATCGCAATTATCTACCTTAGTTACATGTGAATAATTGGTCAAAGTAATAACGCAACATGAACTCCGGACAATTTAGGCACAATTTCGAAGAAAATACTCAAAATCTTTTTCGAAAATTAGAAAAATACAATAAAATTAAACACACAGAGCTTGTCAGTACTTTTGAATCAAATTTGTTAATATATATATATATATATATATATATATATATATATATATATATATATTGTCATCATCCTCTTGATCTTTCTAATCGTAGGGCAGATCCTAATGCTGAAGCCACACTAACTCTTTTCCACAACGGTCTATCAACGGCAGCCATCAGAAATTCTGGAACATTCACACATGTCCATTGACATTGTCCAAGCAGTTTTTGCGTTGGCGGCTTCTCCTATGTCCATCTTCAACGGTGCCTTGTATAATGGACTTGAACTGGCTGTCGTTTCTTTTAATGTATCCAAAACACGCCATTTTGTCTCCCTTTGACAGTGGCGAGAAGATGTTCCTGGTGTCCCACAAAACTTTCAACTGTTTTCCGCACAAACTCATTGCATTTTGTTCCCAATAGAAAATGCCAAGAAGATTTCTCTTGCATTTGTTCACAAACGCTTGGGTCCTTTTCTCTGTATCTGACAGCCGTATTACATTTCACATCCACATATATATATATATATATATATATATATATATATATATATATATATATATATATATATATATATAATAAACAAACATTTACTTAAATATTTGTATCTATAAAAAGAACGTATAAAAATAAAAAATGTCTTAAAATAATTGTCGGACTTTGTCCATTTTATAATGTGTGACGTCATTTGTTTACATTTGGATACGCATCGAGCAGATATGAATTTACGAGAGAAAATCATGGCGAATTGTAGCTTAAAAGCAGTAAAATCAGACCTTGTTAATCAGGACGCTCCTCTGTGGCTCAATCGGTAAAACCCCGTCCAACTATACGACTGTTCCGTAGAGGATTCAGGTTCGATTCCTGTCGGATGGTGAATATTTTCTACGGAAATTTCTCGGACATGAAGGCCGTTAAATGTTAATACTCTTTATTATAAACAGGGCTTTTACTTAAATATTTGTATGTATAAACATAAAAAAGTATCTTTATATATATATATGAGATAATGATATCTAATTGTTTATATAACAGAACAATATTAGGGGAAAATATATGACAGAGAGGAAATACTTTTGTGTTACGTGTTGCCTGCGTCTTCATGACTTCATCAGATTAAATTTGCTACACTGGGCCAACTACACATGCGCACAAACAAGGGATGCTTGGAATTTTAAATGTTTATCTTTTTGTTTTTGTATATAATCTAGCCGATTTCATTCAGAGACTTTTTCTTTTTTTTTCCATCACATTTTTTAAGCAGGTCTTCCACTTTGTGATATTAGAAGATTTGCCAGGAATGGTAAAATGTTGTAAGAGCCATGGCGCGAATTTACTGTGTATGACCCTTGCGATTAAAACACTCTAAATTTGTGCCCACGCTCTTACAATATTTCGCCATTTCTGGCAGATCTTCGATTACAATATGTGGGATATGTAATAACAAAAGTTATAGAGAAAAAGAAAAAAAGATTCTGAAAAGAAATCGGCACGATTATATATTAAAACATAGTAGTATATATAGTCGTACTAACATAAATTTAGTACTATGAAGTCCTAAATGACGAAACACATCGCACGACAATTTTTTTCCACTTTGTCATACATTCCCCCACCTCCCTCTCTCCCACTATATTGAGCACTGTTGAGTGATAAGCTAATTCTATAAACAACAGCTACCTGCGTTAATGCAAAGCTCTTCAGTAAAATGAATTGGAGCACTCCGGCTGATTGACATTTGTTTACATTCGTAAAAACAATAAGCAAGATTTTGATGTTTCACTCTGTCAAATGAAGATAGCTCAGTGGCAGAAGCTCGGTTGGGTTTCAAGCCGGGCTTGAAGTATTCGGATGTCTAGTCGCACTGAGGAACTGTGATACAGCGAAACAGTACTGTCTGAATGAAATAAATATATATATATATATATATATATATATATATATATATATATATATATAGAGAGAGAGAGAGAGAGAGATAGAGAGAGATAGAGAGAGAGATTGATAGATTATGATTACTTACCTAATACAAGCCCAAGAGCCACTCAAGGTAGCGGGCTACTGAGGTTATTACGTTAAAGGCCCTGTAAAGTATTTTGAACTATGTCCAGACTGGAAAGAATCGTGCAACTCCAGCCTAGACATCGCAGCAATACTATATTTTGAGTCTGGTCCAACTCTTGAAAAGATAGAGCAAGGGAGGAGGAGTCAGGAACTTTCTGGAGCTATGTAGGGAGCTAACCATTCAAGTTAGTTAACTGCGCACGTTTGATTGATATATGGGACAGGAAAAGAAAACAATTTCATCATGGGTATGACGATAAAGTACATCCGGCAGCAAGGCCGCTTACCGGGACGTTTTGAGTGGCGTGAAACCCCCTCTTAACTGCTGTTATTCCCAGATCCAACCTAACTCGCGGCGATACCACCCTAACTCGCGGCGGTATTCCAGCTATGGAACCCCAAACTGGTGTCAAAGCATGAAAATATAAATATACATGTAAGATAAATTAACAGCAAATTTTTTTCATAGTAAAAAAATAATACAAGCAATACATTATTTAAAAAATATGCCATCACTACATTTCTGAAAAAAAAAGAAAGAAAACTTACCAAATCTCAGAAGAAAATAACATTTCGGTATTAAATGACCCATACGGAGTCGATATGCCTTTAAACAAACAAACAAACAAACAAAACAAAACAAAAAACAATTTAACTTTACTTTTCCGTAAATTATTTCTGGGATGATAAATATAACCTTATCTGTTTTATATCTCTTGAGAAGTATGATTTTTTTCAGAAACCATTTAATCAGCATGGCTGATGCTAACCTCCAATATAATAACGCCATCTCTTTCTAACGTTTTTCATTGACATGAAGTAGAACGATTATATCGAAGCAAGTGCTAGGCCAGATGCTAGGAAAGTTGCTTCACTATGCCGTGCTAGACAATTTTTGTCTCGCCAGAATCTGTCTTACATTTCTATAAATCTGCCGTGCATTCAATATTGTTGCTACATCTGTTCTGGTGTTTCTGAAATATAGCTAGAGATTTCTAGACAAAATTCAAGGAAGAATCTGTAATGTTATTCAAATAAGAATTTGCAATAATATCGTTCCCGATCATCCAAAGAAGAATCTGCAATGTTAACAGTCCCGATCTGGCATCTCGGATTTAATCATTTTATCAATGACGTAACATAGCGCCCTTCTGCCTTTTCCATAATTTTTTTATAGCAAATGTTATGATGAACTTTCTTCTTTTTTACCTTCAATTTATCAATTTAACTGTAGTGCTAGATTGGCAGGTAGGTCTCATCACTGTACTGTTGAAACTGACAGATGTCACCGTAAGTTCTATTCTAAAAGTGTCTTCCAGTTCTTCTCGCTGGTGGAATTCTTTTCTTCCTTTCTTGTAGATTTTGATCTCCAAGCATTTGAATGCAACGTCAATCGTCATCTTCTGTTTGGTTTTGTTTTATTTTTTGTCCTCCCTTCTCAATAATGTTTTCCCAGTTTCACTTTCACTTTCACTTTCAGTAGACCTATTGCGACTTAGTGGCTTAATCACCTTGCTTGGGGTGAAATGGTTCAATCCTTATCTAAGACAAAATGTTTGAAAATTTTCACCATCAGTGGAAAGAATGCACCATTCGGCTTATTTTTTGTTCACCATCTACATTGCTCGGACTATCATCCTCATCTTTTCGGCCGTTGTGCGCTCCGGCCTGCTTCAGGTGGTTGGAATGTCGAACCTTTATTTCGCTCACTGGGGTAGAATGTTCTAGTTCCACTTGCCATGTCTAATGGATGTCAGTTATCAGTTACCTCCTGTTAATTCCCCACTCCAAGTTCTCCACCGCCTTAACCCGGTATTGAATTTTCTTTGGGTCCTGTCACTGGATCTAATTTAC